TAAAACAAAAAACAACCCCCTACATAGATGCCAAAGTAATATCCTAAAACTTGAAAAACCATCTGGGATTTTTGTGATTCCCTATGAATATGAGGATGATTGAGTCATCCTTTTTCACCTTGTCATTATTGAGTTCACTTGAAAAAATCTTCCTTCATATTTGAATACATAATTAAGACCCCCTTTCGAAACATGGGACTTATGGAAGTCTTTACTTTAGCAACATGTTGTATAAACAGTTTCTCTCCACTGAAGCCTACAGTCTGGTGAGTCAGGACGCGCCCATGACACCTTTTCCAGCACCTGACATCCTGACTAACCCTGCGATGGGCCATTACTAAACACTACGGTTCAATCTTCCAGTGATTATGACACAGCCGAACCATATGCCTCAATCGACCGCCACACTAAGACCAAGACATGCGTTTTAGTTCCGCCCAAATGAAAGTGTTTACAGTCGTCGGCTGCTTCCTAATATTTTGGCTGTAATAAGGCAGGCGGCAGTTTCAATCATCGGTATGTGCGACGCTGATAGGGCTCTGGCCTCTGGCGTGGTCAAATAAAACGCTGCATTTAACACTCAGACTTATTGCATGAAAGGAGCTGTTTGCTGCAACATATCCATACATCTTACCCGTGAATCGACTATCTTGTGGGAGGGAATTCGTGGGATTTGCAGCAGATCTGACACAGCATCATCCCCACCACGCCATGTCAGATTTTGCACACACATTAGCCCTTTGCATCTGTCAAGACGACACAAAAAATATAAAACGCAGTTCCCTGTACCGACTAATTATGCATTGCGGAGGGCTGCACAAGCTCCTCCATCCCCTCCGTGCATCCCACTCAGTCTGTTGTAAACAACACTGAGTGGGATGCACGGAGCTGTCAAAATGCAGCGCCCGGCTTCTTTGATAATAATGTCAAAGACTCGGTTTTGACTGTATCTGCCCGGTTTCCTTACCTTCTGTAGAGGGCAAATGCGTCCGTCCGTGTGTCCTTCACGATGCTCACACCTGCTCAGCACCGCATCGCCGGGCGCTCAAGAGCGGGGAAGAAAGTGACGGAGCAGCGGTCCTGTCCCCGGGATTGGATATGGCTGTCAACTGAGGGGGCGCTAGACCCTCTTGTTCTGCAGGCACAGGCTGCCACCGTTTTTTCCTCTTCTCCATCATTGGAGGATGACCTGATAAACATTTAAGTGTAGCTATCTTATAAAACATTGAATATCTCTAAATCTACACGCATTACATTAAATGACACGACTTTGCCCCAGTGTAGGACCTTGTCTGGCTTCTAAAGTGACAAAATTGTATGAGCTGTCCTTCACAGATTTGTATTACATTTCGTTGTTGAAATATGAACATGTTAAAGGTGGGGTAGGTAATTCACTTCAGAAACACTTTTTATTATATTCCATGGAATGCTCTTAACATCCTGATAGCAATGAATACATTAAATGCTTCGACAATAAATACATTAAAAAAGTTCATCTGTGGAAGCCATAATGCTGTAAAAAGGGACCAATTATTTTAGCCGGCCCGGCTAAAATCACTGGATGGCCTACCTGCCTGTCAGCCTTCCAATCCATATCATGCACTCATTTATCTCGTGGATAATGATTATTGGTCACGTGCGCGTTCGTGTGTGTTGGAGGAGGGGCTCTGTAAGGAAGTGGCAGATTTGTTTTGGCATGCTTACTTTCAAATTCTAGCGCACTCGGGCTGGTTTCTACATTCTTACAGTCATTCTACAGAAAAGGTGGAATCTGGGTGATACAAATCTGCTGAAATATATTCCTTCTAAACACATCTAAAAACCTGTTAAATAGCAATAACTAACTCTTAACTTGATGCATCCACAACAAGTAGAGCTTAAAGTATTTTTATTATTTGTATACATTATACAAAGCTTATTTATATAGGAACGTCACTGGTGTTACGTGTTACCAGGAAGTAGAGTAACACCAGTGACGGTAACACCAGTGACAATTTGGAGAAAACACTACAATTTTAACAAATTTGCCGCCATGTGTCAGACCAAATATGGCTTCAGTCAATATCAAAATCGTTTAACTCTTCAATACAATACATGTTNCTAATGTTTGTACGGAAATTTAAACTGCTTTAACGGACATGTTGACGGCGGATTTTTTTTTGCACGGAACAACTCTGCCGCACGGTCCCCCAAGTCTGCTGGTGGACTAAGGGTAACAGCAGGACGGAAACACCGCGTCCACCCGCGGAGATCAAACAGAAGGGAACCATGCTCTGGGGTCTTTCTTCGCTGCTTTTTGTGGTTGTCGGTCGGCAGTAGCGGCCATTTCAGCGCCTGACATATGTTACTACACTCGTTTCAGCATTTCCCAGCGGCTCTAGTGGAACGGACACGTTTAATGAATCGAATGCGTGTGAATGGAAGCCTTTTTTTGCGCTTGCGTATGCGTTTTACCGTATGCGTCCTCGGGGCCGGGTCTAAGCCAAACACTTATCGGTCACAGAGATCTGCTATTTTAAGTAAAGTCAACACATATCGACCCTAAATATAGTTCTATATTAAGAACGAGAAAAGTCTTAACATATATATCCTTTTTTGTAAACATATGACAAATGTGTGAGGGTGATGACGTCAGAGCATCGTCCTATGTGCCAGGGCTTAGCCCCGGACAGCCCCAGCCAATTTAACCCTGGGTATTTGTGAGAGCTCCTATATGGCATTTACCCCGCTGAAGCTCACCAAAGTTTAACATATTTCATAGTTCAAAGTTTGTCAATTGTTTGTTTATTGGTCAAATACTGTTTTGTCTCTAATAGTTTCTGAGGAGGTTTTACTGGAATGACAAGAGCACAGTCTACAGAAGCAAAAAAGCAGCATACCTGCATTAAACCTGACCTTCACAGAGAGGTTGAAGTTCATGTGAAAAGTAGGCTTCAGTAGTCTGTCTGCACTCTGTTTAGTTTTGCTATCTTACAACAATATAGGTAAATGTGAGGTAAAGTGTTGTTGCCAATGTAACCGGTTAGAACTCAAAGTTGCGATGAAGGTCTTAAAATGTATGGAAAGGGTCTTAAAAAAGGTCTTAAAAGGTATTACATTTGACTTCAGGATTCCTGCATATACCCTGGTACAGTACAAGGACGATGACGATTTTTGAATTTTTGCTCATTATAAACGCAATACTATAAGCATGATGGTCTGCTGTGAAAAGAGTTGGAAGTTAGAAGTCTAAACCAGAAATGAATAACAAAAAAGCAGCACCTGGCTTTAACATGAAGAGAAATCCCAAGGTACTGCAATGCCTTGTCACTGTTGCTATAGTCTGATTGGACAATAGCTGTACAAGATAATGGGTTTAGCACATTCTGTGGTACACAGCTACAGTCGAATAATTGTTTTATACAATAATACACGTTAGCAATCAAATATATTACATACATACATTATTTCACTGAAGCGATTCACATACTGTCACATTCTTACTTTGTGACATTGACAAGTACAAACTAATGCTGTCTGTACTGTAAGTCTTTCTCTCTCTATTTATTACACACACACACGCGCGCACACACACGCACGCACGCACACATTCACAAACTCTGGTAAAACTCAACCCAGCCTCATGATTTTAACAAAATTGACACCCAGGCTGTTGCGGTGTCTCAAGCTTCAACAGCTATCTACTCGCTCCAACTCTAACACACACACTCACACCCACCCACATTAAATGACTTATTTGCAGTCCTGAGCAGACACGTGTGAGCTAAAGTACAACACTCAGACAATGTAGAGACAGCTGGTGTGTGTCTTATATTCATCACAATTTCAGACACAGTATCAGGTGAGTGTCTGAGCGGGGTCTCCTGAGGAAGGGGATGAGCTGCTGCTGCTTGGGGTGGGGAAGAGACGGAGGCAGAATGATGAGTGGGTCGGGCAGGGGGAGACAGACAGAGAGAGTACATGTGTAAGTGCGTGTAACTCTTATCTGCGCTCTAAGTGTCCGTCTGGGCCTGTTTGAAAGTATTGTGTGTGCATGCTCAGTGTACGAGTGTGTGTGTGTGTGTGTGTGACTGTGTGTGCGCGAGGGATTCCGAGCAGCGTTGACAGAGGCCTCCCCACAGGCAGACCTGTGTTAAATATTTAAAGCCCAGACAGGCTGTGGTAATGGTATTGCCACAGTAATGTGTCTGTCTGATGGCACTGGAGACCAAGAGCACGCCACTTGCTCTCTGTGTTTCAAAAACACAAACACACACACACACACACACACACACACACACACACACACACACAGTACTGCAGCGTTAGGAGTCGTGACGTGCACAAGCAGACACTTTTCTTCGGATGCAGACAGCACCATTTTCCCACACAGCCTCTCTTTGTTGTTCACATCAACCTTTTACACTCCTCCGTGCGCTCCTCTTTGCCCATTCCTACATGTAATGGAATATTGAACAACCTCTACATATATAATCACTGTAATTATCCTGCGAGTGCTGCACCGTTTCCACATATGGTATGTGAAAGCCCCTTTCTGAACAGGGAAGTGTTCGGTATGCTGTAGTATTTAGCTGTTAGTTCTTCTAACTCAATGCAGCTATTATTTTCTGCTTCGGCAAGTAAATGCAGATGTCCTTTACAATGTGTGCTCTAGCCTGAAAATGCCTGTTTGTGTTTTCAAGGGTAGGAGTGAAAAGAAGTTTGTGTGCTATGTTTCCCAGTGTAAATCTAAACATGAATGCAAAGGTTGTGTTCTTTATTCATCGCATTACTCTGTTGAACTTTGAATATTTCCCTTAAGAGAGGTTTGAACATGTGAAGGACGATGATTGTGATGTTTTATCTTTGCTTTTAAACACACAATACACTATAAGCATGACGTTTAGGTGCAGTGGAAAACACATCTTTAAAGTTGTATTCATCATAATTTATAAAACATTTAAAATTACAAATGTCAGTATACATTAAATGCGCAACATCGTTGTGTGTTTAAATAATAAATGATTTCTTCCGCAGGTTTGAACTACCGGAAGCTCACTGATGAGTCGTCTGACCCGTTGTTGATCCTGCAACCGGTCCTGACCAGTCAGAACGTTCTGTCCATCTCCAAACTCTCTAACCGGCTGCCCGCACTCGGTGGTGGGGGGGCGACATTATCCCCCAGTGCAGTCCACGCAGTGTGGCTGAAGAAGCTGTTTTGGAAAGGAGACCCCCAGCTGCTGAAGAGACCCCCACAGAGTAATCAGGAATACCTCCATGCGTACGACACCTGCAGCAAATACCTGGACAGGCTGGTCCCTGCAGACGCCGTCCACTTCCTGGACAGCATCACCTTCTCACCTGATGCAGCCGAACATGTAAGCCAAAAAAAACAAAAAACAATAGTGTTGCAAGAGGGCTGGATGAAAGAGTCCAAAAACAAGGATATCAATTTGAATGTAATACCTGTTTCGCTTCATTTGTTTTAAATATGGTTTTTGAATGGGTCTTTCGTTAGATAAATGAAAACAAAAGGTATGAGATTTTATTATTCCGTTTTTTGACAGAAAAAACCCATTTGTAAATGCCCAACTCCAGCTTTTATGTGTCTTAAATAAGCGGTTTTAGGGACCATAAACACCATCAGGGCGATCACCAAGTCACCCTGGTGTAGTTTGATACAGCCAAACATTAGCTTTTTGTTTTGGCTATTGGATTACGCTTAAAAAGTACTCTTAATTAATTTGAGAACATCATCTTGCTAAACATCAAACGAGGAAGTTTGATTATTGTTTTTTTTTACACCGAGTTTATATTCTGTAATTATCCAAAATCTAATTGAAGAGTAGTATTGGTTTATGTCAAGCTGACTACTGCAATCTAACTTTGAGGTTAAGCTTGCAAACATATGTTATCTTTGCAGCACTATACTGTACAGTAATTTTAGTGATTTTTCTATGTTTCCTCCTGATATCCAGCCTTTTTCCCAATATAACCATATGGCAGACAGAGCAGAGTGAATGTAGTATGACACAGTACAGCTCAGACAGTAACTGGTAGAAGTTTGGCAGACTGACAATTTGTAATTGCAGCACAGAAGGTATTGGATCCAGGCAGCCACCCAGAACAGGACTCATATTGTCTAAAAGGAAAGATCGTGGGGGGTTTCGATCACTTCATCAAACTGTCACATTCCTCACACCTCCATCGTCCGACTAGCCGTCTCCCCTGCCCCTGGGCTACATTTTTTTAACGTCAAAATCCCTTTTCTAATTTTAAATACATTATTCTGCTCACATCCCCACTGTGTCGCCTCAAAGCACATACCAGTCATGATTTATAAAATAAATTATAAAATTGCACAAGAAATGTCAGCCACATAATTACAGCACTCTGAAAAATTGTCTCACAGGGGACTGAAAGTGCCTCGGCGCACCTTATCAAAAGCATCCCACTGGTTTCCCTTTTTCTTCATACTGGCACACTGCCGCCCCCCCACTCCAGACCTTTCTGTTCTTCCACTTTTGTCTTAAGCTCCCTCTATTTTCCCAGAGACACAAGGAGAGCTAATTGATCCCTCTCTACTTCAGAGCCAATTAAACTCCAATTCCCAGCAGGCACTGTTTTCCCACTGTGCTTTTTAACATGAAGATTACCCCTCGGAAACCCACTGTCTGCTCCCTCTCCCCTTACCCTCCTCCTCTTCTTTCCTTTTTTTCTTTTCCTTTTGAACCCTCAAAGAGGAAATATCCACCCCTCTCACTGTTGGGAATCCATTTGACCTTTCCCACCCCAAATGCCCCCCATAATGGATTGATCCATTTCCTATAAGGCCAAGGGGTGAGATTGGTCTTGTCTTACCTCCTACTATATTTGAAGGGAGACAGAGTGTTGGCTTTTCCCCCCTCTGAGGTATTGGTCTGAGAAATCCTCTTTAGTGGAGTCGTCCTCTGTTGCTAAACTTCCAGCCAGATTTTAAACCTTGTCTCAGGGTTTGTCAGTTGTTGCTTGAAAAACTCAAGTCAATGGATTGGCTTAAATAAAGCGACTCAATCCCCGCTCAAATGCTTTCACAAATATACCCTCAAAAGACATTTTCCAGGTTTTTCAGGAAACCATTCAGGTAGCGTTGAAACCTGAACTTGGAGGATTTTTATTCATGTATTTCCTGGTGTGAATATGTATGTGAAGCTTGTCACCACCTTGATGCTTGAATGTAACATTTGCTACTAAATTCTCTTTTCTCCCAATGTATACATGTTGGGTTATACCTTCCTCTTTTCAACATGTTAAATTCAAAATGACTTAACGTGTGCATCTATCTTCCCCTCTCTTCCTTCAATTTTGACTCCCACCCTCACCCCAATTTGCTCTTCTTATCCCGTCCCTTTTCCCCTGTATCTCTCCATCCATCCTATTTGTCTCCAGCTGAGCATCCAGGCGAGGTCGGAGGTGATAAAGCGAGCCACCAAAGCCCTGCGCCAGCTGGGCGAGAAGAGCAAGAAGAGAGTGGGCGAAGGCGGCGGGGAGCAGGGGGGGTTGGACGCAGCGGGGATGACTTTTGATGAGGCTCTAACACACCTGAAGCAATCCACGGCACACCTGGACACCCTGAGCCATGCCTTCATTCTGTCCCTCAAAGACAGCCGGCAGGTACACACACTTAAGCCCTTGAACCTTTAAAAGTGAGATGTTATTTTTTTCTGAATTTATACTAAAGGATAGGTTAAAAGAACGCATAAAGTAGTGTGCCAAGTAGTGCAAGACAGTGAAATTGTTTCTTGCCGGGATTCCATGGTGCTTTCCTGGCATAATCTATGGAGATGGATCAGCTTGAAATACAAATTGTCAGTCATTGTAAACCGAATGCAGGTAAATCTGGTGGCTTCGCGTAGGAAATTCTTGGACATTGCATTACAAGCAGTGTTTTTTAGCTACTTACTAAATATAAGTGCTAATAATATATATTATTATAATAATGATATCTGTGGATTATGTTTACTCGTGCATTAATGTTAAAGCAGGATATATCGTAAAGTATAGTACATGGTGGTAGAGCTAAGATTTCTAGTGGTTATTTACATTATGGTTTTAATCCATTGATTATTTCCACCATTATTCGATTGATGTTTTAGTCTGTACACATTCTGAAAGATAGTAAAGGTTGTTGCAACATTTTTAATTTTTAAGCTTCTTTTTAAATGCAGCAAATACAAAATAAGAGATGTTGCGGAGAAGAAAGAGAAAGTACTTGAGCAAAATTCTTAACCTTTGAGACAAACTTGATCACTCGCATCCTTTTCCCTCGCCTGTTCATAGGGTCACCTTTGGTCCGGCACACACACCCTATTTTGTGTATGTGTATTTCAGGGATGGTTCTGCTTGACTAAGCGCTTCCCGCCTCAAAGGGACCAGTCAAGGATATATTAATGTAAATCTATGGGCTCCTGTTTGAACTGAGCCCTGCCATATGGCCATATACTGTACGTACATCGTGCTGTATCTCATTACGCAAAGTCACGCTGACTTACAGTACTGTCACCTCCCTGTGCTTGTGCGGGTGTGGGTGTGGGTTAATGCCAGGCAATAGATAAGGGATCTTGTGATTTTGGCAAGTTGCTGATCAAACTGACCCCCACACAAGTTTATCCCTTTTTAGCGCCTGTTTTATCTGTGATTAAATTCACATATCCTCCATTATAGTGCAAAAGATACCATCACAGCAAGGCAGAAATGTAGAGTGAATTCACAGGTGCACACATACACAGACTTCTTCAATGTCACTCCCCTTTTACTGGTGCAAGAAGCGATTATATCCTTGGAGATAGATAAAAAGGATAAAAGAACCGGGAAAAGGCAGATAGGTTGTGAAAGATAGATAGAAGGAGCCCTGTAGGCTCTGTTTGGCTTCACTGGGGCCATTTATCAAATGTACGTGACCAGCTGCTGGGAATAATAGTGGATGGCAGAAGAATCCACCACAGGCGCATTGACCTGCCATGAGGACAGCAAATTGCACATTGCAAATATTGTAGAGAAGTCAGTACAGCTCGTCTTTAGAAGCTTCCTATGATAATATGTACAGTGAATCAGATGCTGTACGGCACAAAAGCAATAATGATGAGCCTTTCAAGTGCTGTTGTAGATAATTACTATTGTTTTTTCCAGAAATAAAATACCTTTGGGGCATTTTTGGCTTTAATTGTTAACAGCAACAGTTGAGAGATTACTGGTGGTGGCATCTAAACCCTCACACCACCAGGGTGTCCCGAAATTACCATCAATAGCAATTGCTGTTTGTTTTTTTCTATTCTTCTAACGCTGCAAAGATACCAAGCACCGGGGAAGTACAGCTCGCCGCAGTAATTAAATGAATGATTACATTTTTCTGTGTCTGAGAGACATGTTCAGATGGGATGCAATTCTTTCTAACATAGGTCAACATGTCACAGGAGTCACAGGACTGTTTACTGAATGGCTGCGGGTATTCTCTGGCTGCAATTAGTAGCTACTTTTGGCAAAGCTTTGGACCACAGCTCGCTGATATCGGAGCATCCATCACATTTGCAAAGACATTCTTAGGCATTTTGCTGCAGTTAGCACTTAGCCATAGCTACAGTAGCACCTAGCCACAGCTATGCATGTTTTTAGCATAAGAATAATCCAAATATCCATGTTTCCTTCATTCCATCGATATTCAACTAACTTTTCAGGCCCACAACACCTCAAAAATGAATTGGCTAAGAGGCATCGCTCTAGAAAGACCAAACCAACTAAACTAAACTTGTCATCATAAGGGGGAAAAGTATTGCAAGCTTAAATATGTATCGCAGCTCTGTCTTCTTCCCTGACCATCCGGTTTGCTCTCCAAGTCCCTACTTAACGATCTTGTGCTGCCCAAACAAAACATATTTATATAAAAAAAGAGGCCTCCCAAATGTTACCCAAACAGACGCACTTGAGTCCTCCGGTAGGCTTTAGATCTTCTGCATATACATATATTTTATCACCAACATATGATGTCCATATTTCTTGAATACCAATATCCCGATAATGAATATTACAAACAGGAGAGATGACATGGGGTCCAATGCCAAGAATGTCAATGTTTTGCTCAGAGTTAATGCTCTCCCTCAGCAACTAGCGATGAATATGTTAGCTGCAAAGGTTTTTAAACCCAATTGCCCTTTTTTGATTTTTTTTCTAAAAGTTTGCCGTCCTGGGATACCCGGGACACCAAAATGAAACTCAGCAACATCTGTCCATGTTTCTCCTCTTTCCCCTGGCAGACAACAAAACTGTAGATTCCCTGTTATGCATGACTAGCAGTGCTGTGCATCTTGGAAACATGTCCCGCCCCCAGGCTTCCACTTCTGTTATTAAAGTAGCTGCACACTTTTTTGCCACGTCTTGCTTTTCCATTTACTGTGGAGTTGCCCCTATCAACCAGCCTTAGAAGTCCTGTATCTTAAAATCGAGAGGAACTGTTAGTGTCACCTAGCAGCTTCTTATTTTGCTGTATTGACGTCAAACAGAATTCAGACCAAAGCGGCTGCATTTAAAGGTCCTCTATCATGCTGTTTTTCATCAATATATTATAGGTCTCAGATATATACAAAACATGTCTCTGAAGTGTTTGGCTCGAAATAACAAACAGATCATTGTAGCATCCCATAATCCCCTCTGTTTCAGCCCTGTTTCAAAAGTGCTTATTCTGTGTCTGTTACTTTACTGTAGATGAAAATAAGGAGCCCCTCCCCACGCCCCTGTGAGTGATATTTGTTTTAAAAAAATACAATGGTGCTCTAGGAGGAGATTCAGGTGATAAGGGGGGCGGGTGTTACCTTGGTTGGTTATTGGCTAATGGTTACACAAGCCAAAAAATCGTTATGACATCATAAAGTGGCCAAAATCTGATCAGCTCATTTTCAGACAGGTTTTTATATAAATGGGTCATGACAAAATGTGAGAAAATCTTTTTTCCGGAAACTTTCAGAATCTCTTTACACAGAAGGGAGGGACACATGTTTCTGTATACAAGGATTTTGCATAATAGGTGACCTTAAACATACAGGATTTGAACAGTGAGAGTTCTTCCTGTATTATAATACAAGATTGTATGTATTAACAGAGAAAAAGAGAACATTTGGAAAGGAAAAAAGTAGTATTTTAGGTTATGGATAATTCATGCGGGAAAGATTCTCCTAACGAGAGATATTATCCAGTTTAATTACACATGTTACCATTCAAAGTATCTCCTAAATATTCACACATCAACTCAAACACACACTCAGACTGACTCACATACACACAACCAAATACCATTTCGGACTCTCCAGGTTAAGCTTCTCAGCCCCTTTTATTGGAAGAGAGATAAACAAGCAAAAGGTGAGCTGGGTAGTAGACATAGTGAGCCGGTTCAGGATAGTGGTGCCCTCTGGGTAAACACCTGAAGACAACCGAGAACCAAACAACAAACTTCACTCATAAAACTTTGTACTTCCTACCCCTCTAGACTTCCTCCACTCTGCCCTTTTTGTTTTTCTCTTCTAAATAGTTTTCTTCCACTTCAAATTGATATTTGTTTATCTCCATGTGTCTAAATCAATTTGATCAAGCTTGTATTTTCTAAGTATGCCCTTTGTTTCTCTTTTTTCCCTAATGAAATATGTCAGGTACAAAATGTCTGTGATCATAAACACCTCATGTTGGTTTTTTTGTTTTGTTTGTATTCCAGCCTTACAGTCAACTTTATGATTTATCCCGATCCGAGAGGTCAAAAGTACATGAGCTGGCAGTCACCATGGCAACTGATGGGAAGCCTCTGGAGTTCATTGGAGAGCTTCTGCGTGTGGCTGTTGGACCCTTAAACCAGTCGGTGAAAACGGTGCTGCGTGACGCTGTGGAGAGAGTGGTGGCCGCACTCAGGTATTTCCTCTTTTTCCTCTCTCTAGAAAATACAAAACTAAACAACATCCTCCGATTGACAACATGCACAATAACTGAGCTTGGCTGTGAACTTGGCGGAATACATCTGGACCTTTGGAAAACACACCTTTTTGCCTTCTCCCCAAGCAGTGTCAGTCTTTTCCCAAAAAGTGTTATTAGTTTTAGCCTCATTTTTATCCTTTATAGTTTAAGTCTAGTTTGGGTAGACAACAAGTTATAGATAAGATAAGTTCAGATTTAATCTACTGCTCGCCAAAATGTGTTCTTTATATTTTGTCAACTATTTATTTTTATTTGAGTCTTGGTCCTGTTTCAAATTAGTTTAGCTTGGCATGTAAAATAGAAACAGCAACACATATTGCCTGCATTTCCTATCAGTCATAAAAATAAATTTAAAAAACAGCACCTCGTAAGTGCAATTAAATTGACATGTTTTAAAAAACAAACAGAAATTTGCAATAATAAGATGTAAGACTTGGAACAGTGACTTCCTGGAGTCTCCGCTGGTATCCTAGCAACCACACAGCGTTTACAAGTTGTTTATGCACACAAAACATTTCCCATAAAAGGGATTTTTAGATAAGAAAAACTTAAACTAACGAAGAAGTTCAAAATATATTTTTATATATATTTTTCTTTTTTAAGAACGCGAGAACATTCACAAATTAAAGGTGGGGTAGGTAAGTTTCAGAAACCGGCTCGAGGTACACTTTTTGTTATATTCCATGGAATACTCTTAACATCCCGATAGCAATGAATATCTGAAGTGCTTTGACAAAAAATCCATAAAAAAATTTCATCTGTGGAACCCGTAATACTGTAAAAACTACAGGCTAAACGGATTGGATTGCCGCCCTGTCTGTCAGCCTTCCATCTCGTGCACGCACAAATGTATCTCGTGCCCTCATTGGGCGTGCCGTCATTGGGCGTGCATTGCAGCAGTACTTCAATGACTCGCCAGCAACAGGCGGCCACTTTCACCATGGCAGAGTTAGGTTCAACATCGTCTACTGGTCGCAAAAGAAAAAATGTAACGGAGCAAATTAAGAACAAAAAGAAAGTGGAAACTAGGAGAAGTCAAACCAGAGTCAATATCGGAGTTGCTTTGGCTGTGTAGTATTGCTAACCTAGATGTGTTTAGCTTTGCCTGATATGTAACGTTACTGCAGCCTGCTCTCGCGGAGGAGGTGCTCTGTAAGGAAGTCTGAAGGAAGGGGCGGATTCTTTTTGGCTGTGTACTTTCAAATTTTAGTGCACTCGAGTCAGTTTCTGAAACTTACCTACCCCACCTTTAATGTGATATGTTGATATTTAAAATAGGAATGTTGTTTGATATAACAAGAAAACATTATATTTTGATATAATTAGAAGGTTTCTTGTTAAAGCTGAACAATTTGATATGTTGTACTGATAAAAAATGTACAAAGGAAAAGAAAACATGTTTGGCATTACTCTGCTTTGCTTTTTGCTTAGTCTGAATAATGAGCATTTGTGATGACAACAGCTTGTATACATTATTACACATACACCCACATGATTGTCTGTTACTCTACCTTATCAGCGGTTTTTCACATAACTTTCTTTTTCTTTTTTTGCATTAGTCAAAGAGAAAGAGGACGCACACACAGACCCAGAGTTCCAGCCCATGAAAGACGATGACTGTACTTTTGGGGAATACAGGTGAGAGAAAGTGCTCCGGCCTCTGGAGCTCCCAGAGCCTCATTTTACCCATCAACCCCTCCTGCCCCGTCCCCGCTCTCTGCCCAGATCTGCTCTCTCTGCCTGGGCTGGAGCTCTACACTCCCTCCTTCTTCTCAACCCTTACAGCTGACTAATAACTGACCCAGGACCACCAATAACAGAAATCAAAAAGAAGAAGAAGAAGAAGAAGTGTCCCTCACCTGAACTTCTACGACCATGAAGCACAAACGTTTTCTCTCAGTTCTAGGACGTCCTGGATACTACTTGTGTCGGACTCTTGTGCGTGTATGACATTGTGGTGTCTTTTGAGAAGCAGGATTCTTCAGGTTCAAGTGATTTAGGGGTTTGGGTGTTTTACATATTTAGATAAGACTGTCAGGAAAATATATATAAGCTAGAGTCATGTGCAACGCAACCTAAACTGGTTCCAAGCATCGAATCCCATTCCAACTAATAAGCTCCTCATATTCATCCTGTGTACAGTCTATATAGTATTAACACTTTGCCTAGTGTATTGCTACTTACATACACACACCTGATTGAAACTTACTGAATGATCATTCCTCCTGACTTACAGCAGTTACACAGACATGCTTGTTAGCATCCTCATTCTAGGCTGCTTCTCCAATCACACGCAGAATAAAGAAAATGAAGCACTTTACTTCTGTATAGCTAGCATTTCAGAATTGTTTTTTACAAGTCGATTTATAAGATGGTCTTGCTTTTATATTTTATATTCCTTTTTGTATTATGTAAACATAAATATGTTCTATGGATTTTATGCTGTGATAAATACATATCGATATATAGTATATATAAAATGTGACATGCATGGTGTGAAGATCTGCTATTTGGAAATTTGCTCTAGGCAATAATGTGTTGAATGGAAATATTGTTCATATATAGATATACAGTATATAGATGCATATGGATATTCTATGAAATTATCAGCATGTTTGAGGGAAACAGTCATAACTGAGTGTACAAGAGCTGGTTAATGCTGTTTAATTTAGGCCAGTAGCCATTCTATAATAGTTACACTTCTTAAAGGATAAAGCTGCTGAAATTCTGCATTGATATTGTCAACAATTTGTTTAAATAGAACAAAACCCACAATGTGTTATTCTTTACCACAATACTTTCCAACTTCTCCTGCTTGTTTTTGGCTCTAAATCAGTTGTTGATGTTGGCCTTTTAATAGGAACAAGAAATGTAGATTATCACCAGACTTGTCCTTTAAAACTCATGTAGGGACCTATTTACACTGCAGGGGAACCTCCATTGGGCACGGACTAAAGAACACAGTAGACAATAAAACACAAGGCAAAGTGTACAAATATTATAGTGCCTTTGTGAGAGAATACTTTCTATCCATGCTGTTTTATTAAACTCAGCTGGAACCTTACAATATGTCAATAAAAGGCATAACTTCACTCAACTGAGCTGTTTTTGTTTGACTGCAAGACAAAATACTGTCAATCCAGACGGTGTGTAAACGGCGTAAGTGCCTGTTAAAGTGTAATCCTTCCGAGGAGTGTGTGTTGTGTTGTGTTGTGGGATCTCAGCTGGATCTCCTCATCTGATCGCAGGGGTGTAGGTCTCAGGAAAGGTAAGGGGTTTGTGTCAGGGCTGAGGGTCAATGTGCTGTACATCTAGCATGAGAGGAGGGTCAGCAGACAGTCGAGTCACTTTGGAGAAAAACGCTCGCTGCATCCCAGGTTCTTTCACGGCTGTCATAAAGTCTTCATCATGTAACCCACTTTGCATGGATACATATTTTATGGCTTTAATGTGCTAGTTTTATCCATGAAAATGCTTTTAAAAACTGATGAATATCTCTACTAAATTTAAAAACACTTCAACATTATGATGGCTTTGTGATCTTATCTCATTGATGTTCAACTCATGTATGTGGAATGTTTTTCGACTATTTTATATCCAAAGAAAACCTTCTTTGCAGATTATTCATGCATTTTGCCAATTTGTGATTATTATCATGCTTGCTTTGGGGGGATGTTTGGCTGAAACCTTGCTTTCCAAGTTTTAATTCACATCATTGCCTTGGACTTTCTGTTTGTCATCACAACCTCTTTCTTGGGGCGGGAAATGCTTTTGTCAGACAATACATTTACCACTTCATATTTGGTTTCAGGGGGAATTTGAACAGGGTATGATTGCTTGAGCTTTATTCCCCTGTTGCCTGATGGAAACCAACTAATCATTCATTGCTGCTGTTTTTTAGACATGGAGCGAGCTAAATTCAAATTTGCTTCTAACTGATGCATATTCACGATCTGACATTTTAAAAAGTTTAAAAACGACTTATTTTGAATCTGGAAAAAAACGTTTACCACTTACTGAATAGGTTGTTCAGTCAGTGCTCCATCTAAAAAAAAATCACTAATCACTTTGTTGCATCTGTCACATCATCTCACCTGTAACACCTGCATGTTATTTTCTCCTTCAGTGACAATGAGGACCATAAACCGTTAAAAGGGAGCCGCACGCCGTCCAATGGGACAGTTAAGAGAGACGACAGTGACGACAGTTTAGTTGACTACGGGGACGGAGGAGACGGGCAGTTCAACGAGGATGGCTCGTTTATCGGCCAGTATAGTGGGAAGAGTGCCAGCAGGGAGAATGCTGAGGGCCACGAGAGCTCGGAGGCCCCGTCCCCCATTAATGCCATGAATTCCTTAAACTCTTTTGTGTAGGCCGCTGTGAGGTGCCGCACTGACTGCTCAATCCCTGCATCTCTCTGAGAGGGGTTTCCCAACACCGCATGGCTTTATGATCTCAGTCCCCAGTGCCACACATGAAATACACACCACAGCAAAGACTGTTTTTCCTTTGAAATCTTTGTGGAGACCTGTGGCTCGATATACCTTACGCATTATTTAGGAATGAAGTAGCTCAACCAGATTTTTGATTTTAACAGTGCATGAAACATCTGATAAGACCTAAATCCATATTTAAATTAACACTTTGATATTAACAAGTGTTGCATTCTTACCAGGAATCTCTTATGGACTATGCAGTGCTCGTCTGAATTATATTTGTTTTTGTTACTATATTATATACTATGTTCAAATAGTAATCAGTGTCGACTATTACTCCATGTATTTTTTTTTCCAATACAAAAGCTTGTACAGGAACCTGTATTTAATAATGTAAATCCTTCATGTCATTCCATCAGTGCACAAAGTAGATCATGTACAGTGTAAATATATATAAAGTGAACTATCTTAATATTTGGAGCATTGCACACAGCATGCTTGGGATACATCCTCATCTGTCACCACCTCACCTGCGAAGGAGGGGGCGCTGAAATGCTGCATGGCCTGTCACATGACCTCATGACCTTTGCCCTGCATGTAACCTCTTGTTGAGCTTGATCTGAAGGCCAGTGGGAAATGCTGAGAGGGGGTGACAGCGTGCCTCAGTTCCTGCAACGCTCCTTCAGGAGGTAGTGCCTTTTTTTTTCAAAACAACCATTCAATCCTGAAGTCTCTGTCAAGAGTTCAGTCACTGGAACAGAGACAGTGGTAGGACTGCAGAAGTCACATCCAAGGAAGGATAAGATAAGCTTAAGAGGACTGTGTGGAGGGAGGAAAAATCCATACACTGTTGTCGTTTTTTTTTTTTTTTAAAGACATCCCAATGCCTTGAGACACAGGAATGGCTTTGATTCCTCCAAGAAGTTAAGCACACTCATATAAGATCAGACTAAAATCATAATTAAAACCGTACCAGGTGCATTTTCAAAGTGTGCAGTCATTATGTACAGAACCTGATTGTATTTCTGCTGTGTGTGTGTGTGTGTGTGTGTGTGTGTGTGGGAATACATCAATCAATTCCTATTAGGCAACAATTGTTCACTTGTACTAACTACACTTGAGGGCCTTTGGAACAGATCAAGGTTTTTTCTTCTCTTAACTTGCATCAAGTTTTTTCTTTTTTAAGTGTAGAATATTTGTTTATTTTGTAAATACTTTAATTGATTGTACAGGGACAAGCAGCTTATAAGGCAGCCTAAGAGGCAATATTGTGCATGATATGGTTTAACTTGTTGATAGGATTGTATTAAATATAGAGTACTTGTAGAGAATATATATATATATATTCTTTTTTTTCTTTTCTTGCTGTGCACAGTGTACATTGTATTGTAACTAACTGGACAGAAAATTGCATATACATTTGAATTTTTTGATTGTTTTCGGTTTTGCTTGTCAGCGACTTATATGACTTTGGTATTGTACAACATGTAGGATATAGACAATATTAATTGAATTTTCTGATTTGTATTGGTTTTACGCAGTCCCAGGAAACTGCCAAAACGATGCTCTTTTCTGACAGTATTGCAAATGGTTTTGTATTTAAGAAACAGATTTGTACTAACAGATACTTTCTTTGTCTCTATTTAAGTTTCTCCTTTTAGTGCAAGTATGAAATTCAAGCTACTGGAAATATAAATAATGAATAAAAAAAATATATCTGCTTTAGTTTCAGTTTTCAGACTCTTTATTCAAAATGTCATTGCCCTCTCTATAAGTTGAGTGATGCTCTGAATATCAGAGGATTCAACACGTTATAAAAGCCCTATTTATCAGTGTGTGCATGCTTAGTGCTACAAAATTGAATTGAATGATATTCTTTGCTCAACAAAAATGACAGCACCATATGTGCCCCCTGATGCATTGGAACAGGATGTTACTGTTGTTGCTTGTCAGGTCCCTCCAAAGGGTCACATGATACTTCTGAGAGTAAATTAGATAATTCATGTTGAAAAGTTTGTTTCTGTGAAATAACAGAGTTTAACTGCTTTTGACTTCAAACAGTTATTGTAAAGGGGACATTTATTTTTAAACATGAGTAGGAGCCCCAATCAGACAAGACTCTTTTGTAAATGGCCACAATCAAAGGCAATCAAATGTCAATAGGGTTACAAAACATACTCTGTTAACCTAAATGGTAGTGAAATAAATAAATAAACAGTATTCAATTAATATCCTCAAGTATTGAAAAATACGTGAAATATGTTGCTTGACTACATATAGGCTACTTAGTTACTTTCTACCACTTGTGTGGGTGTGTTGGCATTGGACTAACATCATGTCCTGACGCACATGCCTGTGATATAAGAAGAGCTGTCGGGAGGCGTGTGGCGCAGTGGAATAGTGTGTCGGTGTTTGAATCGGGAGCACAGGTTCAAACCCCACTGCAGTCAGCATGTCGTTGTGTCCCTGGGCAAGACACTTCACCACAAATTGCTCCTGTGGGGATTGTCCACAGTATTGAGTAAGTCGCTTTGGATAAAAGCGTCTAACATGTAATGTATAATGTAATATAAGAATCTAAAGGCAATAATGCCAAACACATTAGATTTCCAAAACCTCCTTGCATGCGTAGTAAGACCAACTTGCACACACAACCACGTCCCCAGACACATACATACATTCTCAATACTAACACTACTGTGCACAGTGAGCAAAAGCCGAGGGCTATGTTAATATGGATGCCTATACACCTGCCTCACTCCACTAAGTGTGAAGCAGCTATAGAGAGACCTTATGGAACACGACAGTTGGGCTCCATCTTTTTGGCGCTCACTTGTGGCACTTTCCACTTCCATTACAGTCATATTGTCAGGGTAATAGCGAGAGAGCAGCTCACCATCTGGTGCATTATCACACAGCGATGGTATCAGGAAGCGGGGGAAGTCTGGTATAGTGTCTTGGAAATACTTTCTCCCTCTGGCAAGGACTTTTCGCCTTCTGTTCACTCAGGTACACTAATGCATTTTCCCAAGTAAATTTGTTTGGGTATATCTCAGGAGTGTTGGCACTTAATAACAGCAGTGATGGAAAGTGGATTGCTGCTCCAAATATTAAAGAACCATTTTTTCATATTTTCCAAAAAGAAGCCAAATATATTTCCATGAAGGAGTGGTGCATTAGGAACTGCAGCTGTGTGGAAGATTCTCCATATTATTTCAACCAGAGCAAATGAATGCCACACTCACAGCAATGATCGGATGACCTTTAGCTACCGGTTGATGATTCATCGATCTCCATTTATTTTTGACAAATGTTCCCTCTTGACTTTACTGCCACCTATAGTTATATGAGGTAACTGCACCCATGGCTGAAAGAGCAACAGGCTTTTAAACACTTAAAAGGAAGTGTCATACATGATTTTAACTGTCAATAAATGTGTTGTTTGTCAGAGACAGCAATACAAAAATCTCACATAGAAGCCAAAGTTTATGCTATAAAATATTGTATTCAAACTATAATACTGAATAACCTCACATGTTAACTGACAATCTATGAATAGTCGGCCCTCTGTTGACATCCCTGGTCCTCAATTACAAAGGATTCATGTAAGAGGATTAGCTCTTTACTTTCATGGCAACAGAATCCCATTATTTGTCTGTCAATTGGTGATCATTGGCCAAACAAGCAGCTGCCCCATTACCCTGCTCAACTCCACCCACCGTCCTTCCTCTAGCGCTGCAACAACCCCTCCCTCCACCCTCTCATCCCTCATCCAATCCTCTGTGGATTCATTTTGTGTCAGCCATGTGTCTGCCATGGCATCCATTATCCATTCCCACCTTAACTGTGTCCAGCTCCTTGATTTACGGCAGGGCGGAAAGCCTGGTTAGAATTGATCTAGCGCTGGTTTAATGTCCACCTTCAGTCTGCTTTGAATAGGAGAAAAAATCTATGCATTATCAGATGCTCTTTTTCCAACGAACCTGGGGGATTTAAAGCACATCATTTGCATCCCAGATGCTCAAGTGAAGGGCATGAACTTCCAGCATCAACCTTCCTTTTGAGACATAATGTAGAATAAAGGACATCAATATTAGAAAAATCATTTAGTTTCTGATATTTTTGAAGTATGAGATTAGCTTCAGGGAGTTCCTTAGATGTAAGTGGCAGAGCCTTTGTGTGTTTATGTAGATTTGCCCTTTTCTGATGCTCCGAGCGCCGGGGAGGATAATTGTTTATGATTACTCTGTGACATTTCCTTATGGCTGACAAACGGTCTGCCAAAACACACACACAAATACACACACATCTGTCAAGACCAAGCTTTTTGGAGCCTGAATGGAAGGTTTGGTCTGCTTGAAATTGAATCCAAATTGTACGACTGAAATCACCCTTTCCTGCATAGCAATCTTATTTCTTCCCTGGTGTTTCTATCAACTCAAAGAGGCTGTTTTCCCTGCCGGGGGGAGGGGGGTGAGCTGATCTGGTGGCAGATATCATTGAACTCCTGTTGGACGGATGCTACATAAAGTGAGAGTGCTTTGTTCTATCGATCTGATACTCTCTATCAAACTCCCTTCCCCCTTTTTTTTCACGACAGCCAGGATTATAACTCTTTCCTAGCCCTGATTCTTATTCCCCATGCACCTCCCTGCATTTCCCCTGTGTATTTTGTCTGAGTGGGTGGGGGGTTACCTATGGATGAGCCCCCTGTGGAGATCATTGGGGCTAAATCATATTTACCCCTCCCACCTCTTCCTCTTCCTTGCTCCTCATCCCCCTCCTCCTCCTCCTCTGCCAGGCAGATAGATGACAGCCCCCTATTCTTCCCTGCAGACAGCACGGTGTTTGCTGTTCCTCTTATCCACCCCAGAGACCGGCCATGTAACAGTGTTATTCAGCAGCAGGATCCTTCTCTATTTGCACTGCCATGATGTAAGAGGAACAAAAGTGTTTGTCTGAGGCTTGAATACACCTAGATCTTGGATAACCTGCACACAAAATAATATTATTTTGGGTCTTGTATTATGCCGCTCTATTTAGATATCATGAATTTCCTCAAGGTTACTGAATCCATCTGGTTTGGCTATTTTCTGTGGATTGACATATTGTTCTTTTCCCCTGGGCTGCAGATAATGTCTTTTTTTTCATTGTGTATTAACAGCAGTTCCCATCTCAAAGGCAACAATACTTTTTATGACTAGTAAACTGAAAAATAACAACAGCCTTAGGGAACAAAGCATTAAAACTCAATTTGCAATAAGGCTATAACCTTCATGTAAAGTCAGTTTCTGATCACACAATAAAAGAACTTCTTTGATATGTTAGCCCAAATTCATCCAAGGGGGCTAAGTCCTTCAATTAATTCTACCCTGCTCTATTTCAAAGATTCCTGAATTATTTATGGGCCGCCGCGACAGCAGATTATTATTTGCTGTGTGGTGTTTACATCTGAGATTTAAATCTAATCCCTGGGGATTGAGATGGTCTGATGTTTGGACTGACACACCAGCACGGCTTTGTAATTAGGAGAGGTGCCCTTTTGATATCTGTCTGATGAAAAACAGGCCGACGGTTAACATGCAGAATGCAGTCTCACTCACCGCTCCTTCTACCCCTGCTGGTGTCTTGTCATGCAAATAGATGTATCTGGTCATGTGTTGAGAATGTGTTTTCTCAGAAACCTTTTCTGTTCCTACAAAACAATGGACTGGATTGTAGTTTGTCCAGCTAAATGGCAATACAAAATACGTTTGATTGGTTAAAGCAGTTTTTGTTCTTTTTTACTGTTTCCTAGCTGGTTAAAAGAAACACTCTTATCTTTGACATCCTTTAAATGTATATTTAATACAACAAATCTGACTGTGCACACTGAGGAAGAGTTTGATAGGCAAAGCAGTGAAGCTGGCAGACAAGACCAACAAAATAGAGGTCATACATGCAACAAAAAGGGCTGAGGCAAACAATTTGGGGAAAGATTATAACTTCATGGGGAGTAAATGGGGCTGATGACTAATCAGAAGCAGGTGTGTGGGCAGGAAACACAATGAGGACAGCGGGTGGGCAGGTGAGGAATGACAGGGAAGGACTACAGAGGTATGAACAACCTGGCAACTGAAGTCAGGACAAGATGTATTAGATAAAACCAATACATATTTATGGTATAACAGATGATGCATCAGTTATTAAATCCAATAATTGATGCATCCATTAAGTGCCGGACCATAATGATTTGTTGGCACTTGGTTATAACTTCAATATCATTTTGGAAATACAACAGACTCTGCCTTTGCCTGAACAAAACAAACGTTGAGTAAACACATTACATCTCTAAAGAGTTTTTATGACTTATTAAGTACGATTGAGTTTCAGAAGCTCTTATATCAACTTCTATTAGCAGTAACAATGCTTTGATAAACTGAATCATCCCTGCCTAGGCTATATAAACCAAACGGCAGACAAAGTCAGTTAGATCATCGAAGTGAACACAGTAAAAAGTTCTTATCAAAAGAGGAGACCAGACCTCAATTCGTCTGATAGCTGAACGTCGACTTCAGATGGATGCTTGCAAGTGTCGATTCCAAGGTGGGCTAACTTTGCTAACTTTTACTTGGGATACGTACAGTAGCTTGTGTTTCTGCCCGCAAGAGTGGCAGCAAGATTGAGTAAATCAAACGGTTAGCCTAATTCCTTTGTTCATTGAAAACTATTTAAATTGACAGCAA